GACCTTCCTGGGCTTGGGATGAACTCCATTGATACTACAAAGTGAGCAGCAGCAATTGAAATATTGTCAACTTAAATGATTGTTTTATACAAAACACTCAAAATCAAAGGACTTGGAAATCTATAGTGAGAAAAATGTTTCATCAAAATTTTGTCTCCTGCTAGCAGAAGGAAGAATAAGCAAATCTAAATGTTAAAAGCTTTTCGATTTTAATAAGTTGCTCCTAGTGGATGATAACTCATTTTGTAATGATAATGTGATGTACATGTATATATGCCATTTGTACTATAGGTCTAATAAGCTACACTGTGATACTTTTTTTGTCTGCTTGCAAATGTTGATAAGGCTATCTAAATTTAATTCTCTGGTTCTCAGGCCAATTTTCTTCAAAATAGATGCAGGCGGGAGGCATTTTATTTAATATTTTATTGGCAATAAAGTAGATGAGGGAGGTGTTTCTTTAATAATAATTTTCGAATCTTCCTTAAAATGAAGATAATTTTGTTATTCACAGATATACTTTCCATGTCTGATCAAAAGGTTTGCTTTATCCATTGCTTATCAGCATGTGAACATCGTAGGCAATGTCTTCGAATGTATTTTCAAACGAAGTAGGCAAAATCTCTTTGCAAATGGCTACCGGAAGTGATATTTGAATACTAAACTATGAAAAAATAAGGACGGAACTGTTTTTTTCGGATTGGTCTCCGCAATACCAACTCTTTATTTTATCAAAAATACAACAAAATTAGCAATGTGGCTACCTCAAAACAGATGCGTGCGAGCCTGAGAACCAGAATTTCAATTTTATGTAGCCTAAGTTGCACACTTTTAAAACAATGCAGTACTGATATCACACAAACATGACAAAATGGTTTACCCTCTGATTCTCATCACAAATGCCAGCTTGGGTTCATCAGGAACAAAGAAATTTCCATTCTTTCTGGCTTGTCTCGCCATTCGGATGTCATCTCGCTCCTTAGCTCTGTACTCTTTAATGTACTTTTCTGCTCGTCGGAAAATAACCTTCTTCTTCTCTTTTAATTTCTGAAAATTAAAATTTTTTTTTAGACAATCAATTTTCACCTACCAGGTACTCATATTTGCAGCTAAAATCACCTGTTGGCACTAAAAACTGAACTGTGTCAATGTGAGCTCTTAAAGCCTGGGCAAAGAAAAAATTCGGACTTTGCACATTGATCCAAACGATTTTTTTCTGCAGTTACTCTGGACTCACAATGCATCACTTGTAAAAGCTACTTTTTCACCAAAATATCGACATAAGTTCAACAAAAAATTAACACGTCTTGATTTAATGGATAATATTGAAGATGAATAGTAAACAAAACGTTCTTCATTTACTTTCAGCACTCCTGGTCAGGCTTCTTTTTGGTAATACAACTTACTCATGTTGGGCACACCCCACCAAATGGTCCTTTATCCCTCGTTTGGTAGACAATCTCCCATATCCGTGACGTATGTTACTAACTAAATGGTGGTCTTTTTTATTCTATTGCAATTTTTATTAAATTTTTAGCGCATTTGCATAGGCATTGGGGAATTTTAGTGAACATATTCCTCGCACAATTAACATAAATCGGTCGAATTTCCATGTGCAATATTTCCGTAACTTCATAAAAACGATACCCATAGTTGTCTGTAACAGCCGAACTTCTTGATCAATCGATCAAAAAAAAATCTATTGTGTCTTGTAAGTTGTTGGATAAAAATTCAATTTTATTCAGTGGTTTAACTCTTGATGAGTTGACTTTCAATTTCTCTTTGGATTTTCATCAATATTTATCTCCCTGAAATCCTGTTAAACATGAGCTTCTCATGCTTTACTGGTATGGTGGGCACTTACTGCTATAAAGATTAATTTTTCTAGAGTTGAACTTAATATTTGTTGTTTTTCTTTTAGGATGAAGTTGCAGATTCCATGTGACCTTTTGTGGTTAAATATGTATACTACTGTTGAATTTAACCAAATAATAGAGAACCACTAAAAATTGTCTAACTTCCTTTAAATTAAAATAATCCATGCAAAATATGCTATATGACTCATTTTCCCACCTCGAAATTAGGGAATAGACGAGGAGAACAAATTTTGTACTTGTATGTATAACTTTCACTTTCAGAAATACATGATTAGGTCGTTCTAAAAATCTTTCACTTTCAAGAATATATTTTATGTTTGAGTTACCTAATAACAAAGTTTCATTTTCACTTTCTACATTATGGCGGACTTTTGATGCGATTCTGGATGATTTTGATCACTGACAGGGGGCCCTTATTTCCTGACAATTGAAAAAGACCCAGGGGGCGCTAATAGGGGCAGGGGCGGTTAATAGGGATTATACGGTATTTGATAAATAATTTTTACTAAAAAATTCATAAAGTGACTTTTGCAATTATTCTTGTTTTTGATCCAAGTACGTCATTTTAAAACAATAATTATATCATAATCCAACTGCATTTAGTATTGTAATAGAGAACAAAGTCATTACTTACAAAATAAAACGAAATAAAGGCTAAAACTTATTTTTCTCTTGATTTCATAATTGAAAATTAACACAAATGTGCCTCCGTAGTTAAATCTGAATTTTAATCAGGTTTAAAAATGATCATTGTTTTCATTGGTTTGCATAATTTGATTGGTTGCTTGGATAATCGAAATAAAAGGTAAAGAACATGATTTACAGGTGCAGCATAGTTGGAGAAGGAGAGAATTTTCATTTAAATTAAAAAACAAAAAAATATTGCACTTGTTTACATATGCGACGTTTTTGTCAATTTTTTGAATGACTGCGCAAAAAAATTGCACTTGGAATTTCTGATTTTTTTCACTCAAAACACTGATAAATATCTATATTTTATTCCACATGGTTCATAATTATGCGCTATTCCACGCCACTCCATGGAATTGAACACAACCTTTTTTTCTCCCCCAAATGGTTAGTAAAATATGTCACCGATATGGGAGATTGTCTACCAAACGGGGCATAAAGGACCATTTGGTGGGGTGTGCCCAACCTGTTACTTATGTCATGTGATGTCAGAGTCTATATGCATCAAATGTCATGTGCGGTTTGACAAACCCGACCTAAATATAAACAACAGAAGTACCTGTGGCATTCTGCACATGCCCTAACAGTCACACCATGCCCTAACAGTCGCACCATCAACATATAAGTAGATTAAATGTTCTTTAATATCATTAGCACTACTCAAACGTGACATTAGTGTTTAGTCGTACCAATTTGGCAAATTCACCTGCGCTAGCCCTGACGGCCGCATCATCAACATATTACCTTTTTCTCTAAACATATAAATAATAGTTTATTGCTTACCCGTTTATTTTCAAGCTTTGCGTTGGCAAATTTAGCTCGTAGTTCTTCATTTCTCTTTCTCTTCTTCAAGAGAGTTTCAGGCACTCGCGGAAGCTTTTTACTAAAAATAAAAGGATTCCACGTCAACAAATGTTATTTCGTTGTTCGTTTCAGTGTCTATTTTATTTTCATATATATCATACTTGAGCACCATTGAATAAATGTTTATCAACAGTTTAACGTAGTATCTTAGCTCAGTTGACTTCCAATTTTACATAAAAACACATACATTTAAATCAATATATATACTTGACATTACAAATCAATCATTTTTGAGGACAGAAATGGGGTTTAAAATGAGGAATTGATATTTATGAACGTGATGTTTATGGATTTAGTTAGTCATGTTGAAATTTACTTTTCCGGGGCCATGTTGAAACCATAAAAGGCCGCTTAGAAGGTTGCATGTAATAATATTTATAAATCTTTGTATTCTTCATTGAATCATTTTAATAATTTGTCAGATTCGCTTACTAGAAAATTAATAAGCTATACCCACAAACGAGATCAATTGTATTTAATTATATCCTTTTCTCACTTTTCGATGCCGCATATATCATATAAAAATGTCGGGCTCGTTGTTCGGATTCTACTTTCGTTTCTTCTCCCAGAAAACATGGGAAGCCGCAGCGATGATACTCTAAGATTATGGCGGTTTCTACGCTTTGGCAGTGACAGAAGTGTATATACGCCACGTATCAGCACTCTAGAACGTTCATTTGAGAACCTTATTTTGAGGTAAAAGCTTCTTTTCCCTCATATATGTTTATAACAATCTAACATACAGAGATAGTAGAACTACACCCTGTCAATGTCATGCCCGTGTTTTGCTAGTTAAAACTAGAGGAAGTGTGGGCACTGAGCTCACTAAATGATACACATCGCCTCCCATATTATTATAATGGCAAAGTCCATGTTTTGCGCTGAGAAACTCAAAATAAAGTGTCAGATCAAAAAGTAAAAAAAAATAGTGGGTGCACAATAAGGCATAATGTAATAAAGAATCTGTGAAAGTTTCATTAAATTTAATTCAGTGGTATAGGAGGAGTTGCAGATAAGAAATTGGTTCCTTTCAATATTATAGAAAGAATGGCAGTGTCCATGGTTTGCTCTGGGAAACCCAAAATAAAGTGTCCAATCAAAAAGTAAAAAAGGAAGTGCACAATGGCACTATAGTATATATAAACAAAGATTCTGTGAAATTCTCATTAAATTTCAATCAGTGGTATAGGAGGAGTTGCAGATAAGAGATGGTTACCCCAACAGATGTTTATTTTATTTTATTTATTTATAATTTTTTTTTTTTTTTTGGAGAGGCCAAGTTCAAAGAGTTCAATATAATTAAAGTTTCCTTAATAGGAGAGGCCGAATTTTATTGTTGGGAAATTTTATAGCAAGATGTATTTCAAAGAGTTCAATATAATTAAAGTTTCCTTAATAGAAAAATTCTTTATAAATGAGTTAAACATTAATTGTTTCTGAAAAATTGATAAATGGTAAAAGACATTGGGTACTTGTTATTGTGATAAATATCTAATATGGAAGATGAATTTTAGGCATCCTGACATATCTTGAGAGTTGAGGGATTTAATGGCATTCCTCTAATTTCAGAATTATTCAAAGAGGGGGAGGAGAACAGCTGATTAAAAAGATAAAAGATGCATCCGAAATGAATTGCCGATTTTATCCTTTGGCCTACACCCTAGCAGTATGTGCCAGGAGCACCAATCAGGCTGTCTCCAAAAAAGCGTATGAGGCTCTTCCGATAGTTTGTAAGATACCAGGACATTTGTTTCTGTTTATAAGTTACTGTCAGAAGTCGTTGGATCTGAAATCATGGCCTAGAAAACACAGAAAAGCTATAGCTAGATGGTACACAGAAAACCCATGTTACCTTGAGGATCCATTGCTTCTGGCAAAACATGTGACTAAGTATAAGAAACGTCATGGAATAACTCACAAAAGAGTGATCAAATCTTGTCATCCAAATCCAGGCAGATGTCCAACAGACATCAGGTATATTTTGTGCTATGTTACTAAAGGTATAGCCAAGGCAACTCAGTTAAAACAAAGAGAGGGGGGGAGAATTTCTCAAAGAGTAGTAGAATTCATAGAAGATGTAGAGACAATTAAGAAAAAAAATGTACCAGAAGAGGACTTAATAAATATAATAAGAAAACAACAACTGACGTGGGAACAAATACCCAATGAATTTTTGCGATTCAAAAAAGTATGGAATGCCTTGCTTCACTTGATGCCAATGACTGCATTGTTGAGAAATTTAGGCAAACTTACCAAATTTGGATTGCTTCAGCCTGGGAGTGTTGAAGAGAAGAGAGTTTGCTCTAGAATTGAGAATCAAGACATCTTAAAGCAAGCCTATCTACATCCCATTCAGATTCTGTCATCTCTTAACGGTTATAGGAGGGGACGTGAATTACGCAGCAACCAACGTAGATGGGCAGTCAATCCTAATATTGTTAAGTCTCTAACGAAAGCATTTATGATCCAGTTGGCTTCTAACAGGATACAAATGCAGCCAAAGAATATCTTGATTGCAATAAATGTTCAGATTGCAATGGAAAACCATGTTGTTGGAATCCCATCAATGAACTGCAAGCAGACAGCTATTGCCTTAGCAATGACTCTTAGAAATGTGTATAGCAGTTCAGCCCACACCATCACATTTGGAGGTAAAAACACTAGAGGACAAGGATTTGATTTCCCACTAACTGAAGAAGGCTTGTTTGACACTGAGAAAGTATTGGAATCCATAGTGCCTAGAAAGGATTATGAAGCAACTGATTTTGGTGAACCATTTCAATATGCTCTTGGGAATCTGGAGCGAGTTGATGCAATTATCATCATGACTGACCACCTTACAACAGAAGATCAAAAAGATATAAGAAATCACTATGCACAGTTTAAGCAGAGTAAGAGAAACACGTCACTCATCACGATCTGCTTCAAGAACAGCGGAAAGGTCCCTCCCGTTGCTGATCCTGAAGACCCACGCATGCTGGACGTTATTGGGGTGGACGCTGATGCGGTCAAAATCATCCTCTCTTTCCTCTCTGGGGAGGAGGAAAGATTCCAAGACATGCTGGCAGGAATTGTCGACCTGAGAGTAGAGGAAGAGATGGAACAAGACTGAGGAGGGATACACTGTGATTCAATTTGGACTCTCCTGGCGTTTTGGAGGTTAATATCACAATGATATTCGCATAGCATTCGATTTGATCCTGCAGTTTAATCTGAAGTATAAATCTGTGAAATCTTAATACGGAGAACAAAAAGGGTAAAATTAAAGAAACAGAAACTTTGAATTGTAGATCATAAATGATTACTTTTTGAGTATATGCTTATTGTGATACCAGATGAAGAAAATGACTGCCCAAAAATGCAGGAATAAGTTAATTGTACAGTCATTCTGCATGCATGAATAATACCTTTACTATCATACTACTTCGTTCAGAAATTTCCTTTGCATAGGAGCATACAATGCAACTAATAGTTGCAATAGCTTTTTGGCCAGTTTGTGTAATTGATGAGCATATATAATTTTTTGGCTTTGCAAATTGGCACCAATAATCACATGATAATAAGAATGCATACATGTCAAAAAGGAACCATCTATAACATGTATAAATTACAAAGGAAAAATTATGTGTGCCCTCAGATCTGAAAATTTTGATATGCTTTAAACTAGACTTATTCATATACTGTGATAAACATCATGTATATAGATTCATCTGAATCGATCTTGAAGTTGGTCAATGGTCATCATTGGTACCAGAGGTATTTTGATTGACCTCAAGCACTTGTGTCTTTTTAAAATTATTATCATACGATGAGGTAAAAATTTATTACAGAACCAAGTGTCTATATGGCTGACTTTAGTTAATTGTATCAAGTACTATTATATTTATTTTTATATATTATGAAAAAATGACTCATTTTTCTTCTCTTTACAATCAAAGGTTGTTGATTACCTGGTAAATTCATGCACTGTGAAGCAATATCCTGATTAATGTACAAACTACATGACCAGGCCTGCAGTGCTGAAAAAAAGTTTTTGGTGCACACTGCAGTTTAAGCCGTAGTAGTTCATGGTCCTTTTGTTCATGTACAGTTTCAAAGTCCTTGTACTACAGTAATTACATCAATCTGCAAGTAAAGCTTCAACTTTATTAAATTTTAAGGATTCATTTTGGTTGCTGATATTTAATCTTTAAAAATATATATCTATAAGAAAATTATAATCTTTTTTCTACATTCTATTGCCAAATTATATAAGGATGAAGTAAGGTTAATTGCTAGATTACTTATAAAATCCACAGTGTATATGTTTATATGTGTTTGCAAGAATCTTCAGGGAATACTCACTGCATGATCATGAATTCTATAACTTGAGCATATACATGTATATTCTTTAATTACCCCTATATAGTCTCTAGTGTTGAACCATTGTTTATGTATATACCTTAGTCTGTTTCAAGTTGTTTCAGTTTATTAATCAATAAAGTCATTATGATTATAATATGAATTTTAATGTTCTTGTAAAGTGCATTCCAAGATGCAAATGCAACTTTCATACAAGTGTAATCTTGTGAACTTAATTTAGTCAATGAAGATTGACCAGCTACGAGAAGTTAACCTGGTAAATTACCCCTCCCCCCCATGAATACCGATGAGTTTCAGCTGCGCATGACATCTAAGCTTCTGAGCCTCCATCCTAGGTTCATCTTTCGTACAAGTACTGGTAGCCTCCAAGTAAGCTACTAGCTTTTTAGAAAGGACCTGCTAAAATGAAACAAACGTGGTTTTATATTGATCTAAGATTTGTAGGACAGAGGCAGCATCCCAAGAATCTCGAAATATGGCCGTTCACATCCAGTGAAGTTAGCTACAGATCACAATGGGGTTGCAATTAGTTACCAATACTTTGCAAATAGACCTACTACTAAAATTTATATTTGTTAATCATATTTGTAAGCCACATTTAGCATCTGAAGTCTGGTAACAACTGCATCCCTTGAATGCAAGTTTTAGTCATGATATTAAATTGGGAATGGGCATATTCCAAAGCCCTAAACTTTGCCACTCAATAAGAAAACATAGGTCAAATATAACTAGACTGGTAGTAACACCTTAGACCAATCTTGCATCTAGAAATGCATACTGTTAGGCTTGCCTGGGATGCATTAATTTGACTTGGACAATAAATCCCTATCGTGACTCTTAACTCCTACTTGGACCAAACTTGACTCTTAACTCCTACTTGGACCAAACTTGACTCTTAACTCCTACTTGGACCAAACTTGCACCTATAGGGATGAATTTCAACAGCCTTGCTAATTTATGTGATACATAAGTCAACTAATTCAATATTTTGGTGTATGATTGATTTTCAAACAGAGGCCGACTACTAACCAAAAAATTGATGTTACAGAATTTTCAATTTATGTCAGAATTTTGCAAAATCTATGGTCATTAAACTGTAAACAGGGTTATTTTCGTAGCCCACTTTATTTTTGCCCTTTCAATCTTGCAAACAATTTTGCCCCGTTTTAACTTCCCCCAGTCACACTTTTGTTTAATAAATTATAAATTATACTGTATTCTTTAAATTCGCCCAACCAAGGCAAGGGCAAAAGGGGCGAAATTTTCCCTGTATCAAGTAATGATCTTGTTTACAAATACAACCTACATGTATTGTTGGGTCATACTGGAGCAGTAAAATGTTTATTCTACAAACTATTTGTATACCATTTTGACTACATATCTCAAATTCATTCAATCACAAACTTTCAAGGTTTTAAATATTTTAATTTAAAAGTAGAATTTGATAAACATCGAAGATCAAAACAAATGTGAAAGAAATAAAGTAGTTATCTGGAATTAAAAGTACATAATTCGACAATCATGAAAGCACACAAAGTAATACTCATTGATCACCGAGTCTTAAGGACAGAAGTACAGTGTATATCAAACAGATATATATATACATGTATAACATGGAATTTGAAAAACAAAATTGCATGCATAGATACAAAATAATAGTACATGTATTTCATATTTTGAAATTTTCTATTGCTTTAAATCAGCTACCTCATATCATTTCATTTTCGGACAACAAGTGAGAAGTAAAATACTCCATGGGTATCCAAAGATGATGTAATTTGTCAATGATACAAGTAGCACATGACAGAATTCGCAAACAGGGGAAAGGATATAATGATTGTCACTTGTGTATACCAGGAGTGAGAAGCCAGGATGTTCATCTTGATGTTTTTTGATTTATCGGGCATGTTTGTTTCAATATCACATGTGCAAGTTTTAATATACATGTATAATGGCCCTTCAAAAGCAGAAACTTTCTTTTATAATAAACACTCAAAATTTAAATTAGTTATTTACATCTTGTCATAAAAATAGCCATTTTTCTGAATTTTTACTTTTCTGTACTTTTATTTCCACATTCGGCAGTGCAGATATTAAATTACTTTTTGTACAAGAATAAAGGTAATATTTCTGGTTATGAAACTTTGTCTCCATTATGATCATTTAGTCAAAAGGAAAGAATTCAATTTTATATGAAATTTACATACACTGTTATACACAGAAAAAAAAATCTAGTCTTTTAAAGACTATATTATATCTAAACATTTGCAAACATCACTTGGTTATTGTAATACATAATGTATAATCAAATTATACCATGACAGCTCTAACTTTTTTACTGAATACACGTATTCTTAATTCAAATACACTCTTATATATTTACAACAAAATTATTTCTGAAGACTACTGACTTGTGATTAATGTTTATCAATACCATAATAAAGAACCTGAAATACTTTTGTTTCATTGTTTTCCTGCTCCAAAATAAAACTTTTGGAGAGGCATTCACAGCATAATGATATAAATGAGAGAACAAGACAATAAAAATCACAAATTATACATGTACATGTACAAGCTGTTGTGGTTTTGGAAAAGAAAAAAACATACAGTATACACATGTATCAATAAAAAAAAACTTAAACAATAAATTAAAAAATATAAATAGGATTTCATAAAAGAGTTTTAAATGAATAAAAAAAATAATTCTTTAACATATGTCAGCTGTTTTTTGCACAATGCATGAATAATCTACAAGTGTCATAAATTATGCCATTATTGCTCAATAGGATAACATTACTCAATAAGAAAATGTCCACTGCAAATAGAGAAATGTACAAATATGCATCTTCTTTCACAATACTTGATTTTTCTTCCTGCCATTTTCAGTTCATAATTTTGTTTAACATATTTACCCTCGATGCATATTAAGATGACCTTTGGATTTTTTTAAGTATTGCACTTGTTAACATTCATACATGTATCAATGTATACAAGAAATAGTAAGCAATAAAACAAATATCCTTGTGACAAACCATATCATTTAATTATTAATTTTTCATTTTATCTACAAAGGTTATTTTTTTCTTTTTTCTCAATTTGCTCTCAATATCTATTATTTATTCCCCCTTTTTTGCAAAGAGGCTAAATTCTCCAGACTTTACTAAGTCAAGTGATATGCATGTACACATGAACACAATTTTTTTCGCTAAGAAAGAACAATGATATTATTTCATCTAACATGCAGCCATCACATACACTTAAAAATATTGCTATTAAAAAGTGTAGGGTCTGGTGTAAAACTATAACATTGTGAAACTTTTTTGATCTTTTTGTTTAACATTTTGACACATTTGTGTCCCCACAAACTGAATTTTGTCTGCAAAATAATATCTAATGATTAAACTTAATGCAGAAACAATCTTTACATCATTTTTAAAATATCAATACCCTAGATTTCATTCATCGCATATTATGAAATGGAACAAAACATTTACTTTTCCAAATGAGAAAACATGTATATTAAGGTCTTTTTCAATAAATCCACATAAATATGTCAAGATATTTGAACAAAATGACCCAGAGATAATGCGGCCATGGTGGACATCCTGCTAAATACCGAGCAATTTTGTCTACTTTGTTTTCTTAACGAGACATTTTAAAAGACTGATTACTAACCCTTAATTTGGATTTTTAATCTCAGTTTGCTGATCTAAAGGTATCTGATTGTCCATAGAGTAAATAGACCAGTTTGTTTGATAGAATAAACTAATTGTGAATTCTACAGATGTTAAAATGTGATGAAATATTCCGAAATTTTTGTAAAATATAATTTGAAAGAGTTGTAGATCTTTTGAAAGAGAATGATTTGGTTTGTGCTTTCTGCTGCTGAAAGTATAATCAATTATCTGTCCATAGATTACAAACTTTGTTTGCTGAAATACATATTTATCGTTGAAATATGAAATTTAAAATTACCCACATTTTCTAAACATTGCTTTTCTTGCACCGAGTGTCCGATAACAACCAAGTTGTCGATAACGCGTTGAGCAGTGTGATTTAAAGAGGTATATGTGTATACCTTTTGCTTCATGGATTTCACATAGGCATGGAAGTAGAAATTCAAAAACAGAAGTAAAATAGTGAGCGCATAGAAAACCAGAGCCCAGTGCATCCACTCGGGGAAATCACACTTGAAATAAAGGCTTTGAGCTGCATGAATAATTCCTGTCACGAACTGAATCTAAGAAAAAACAAAAAATCAGATAACAATTAATACAAACCTTTTTATACTTTTCATTATGCTTCTTGATATACTCTTGTATATAGAAGTTCAGGAAAAGTGTGATAATGGTTCCTCCATAGAAGAGACCAGCATACTGCATCCATTTTGGAAAATCACAATCAAGATACAGGCTAGAAAATGCATACACCATCCCAATATAAAACTGAGTCTAGCAAAAAAGAGAGAAAAAAAATTAAGCATCCAGGCCATTTATTTTTTGTTTGAAAAGCATGGATTTTTAATTCACTATTTTTTTAATACTAACACCGTAGCACAGGGAGGATACAAGAAAGAAACTTTCATTGTGAATGTAAACAAGTCTACAGATTATATGGTTTTTCATAAGCATTGATTTAGTAAAAAGTGACTGTGAACAGCAACAGATTTTAAAGAAATGATTAATATAAAGTCAAACAAAATTAATGCATTCATTAAATGATTTTGGAATTTTTAAGCAAAGCTAAATATTTTAAGCTGAGAAAGGAGATAGAAAATTTCTGAAAGAATGCAATAGAAATGTTTTGAACTTTAGATTTGTTTTTGTTTTAATATATTATCATCTATTATCTAAGCTTGTATTTATATATGTTTATGATGGCATGCCCTAATTGTGAAGTTTTAATAAAAAAAAAATTAGGTAATAGAATTATGGAAAATAAATGACATTGAAACATTCAGATTTTTTAAGTTATCCATTCCACCTGAGTAGAAATTCTCAGCAAATTGTGATGACACTTTATAACACAGTGATACATGTAACACTATATCCAACCAAAATGGATGCAGTAAAATGACAACATTGTCAATAAATAAGTCATGCAAAAATTTGTAATCAGTAATAAATGTACATGTATATAAATTAAAAACAATGAATTTGTATTTAAATTAAATCTAAAAACATGACTTTTGAATATGAAATTTTAATAACTTTACTGCTGATTTAAATAGAATACCGTATACAGAGAAAAGTTTGCCCTCGTTTTATTTTGCCCCTTTCAACCTGTTCAAATTTAAAACGGGGTAAATTCAGAGAACATATAACATAATTTCTTACAAAGAACCATGACAGAGTGAATTTAAAACTGGGCAAAATTGTTAGCAAGTGTAAATGGGACGAAAATAACCCTGTATACAGTATTATGAACATAATATCCATGTGTACAGTAATGAAATCTACAAAATAGAGAATTCTGCTTAAAAATGTTTTTAAAAAATGAGAAAGAAATTGCAATAAAGAATGGTAACTCTTGTAATGAATCTGATTGGAATAAGGTTAGAACTGACAAATAAAACAAACTTCAGCTATAAAGACAGAGAGAACTGTACCAGTTGTAGCATGGTGAGGTATCGCTTCCACCAGAGGTACTTCTGATACTGAGGTCCCAGAGCCGAGATTCCGTAATACGTGTACATAATGACGTGAATAAGAGAGTTCACCGTGGCACCAAAGAAAGCTGAAATGATAAAGAAAGAGTTGTCAGACTTGCTGTTGTTTTGTTAGTGTGTAGGGTATGATGCATAAGAAGAGGAATGGTTTCAATATCAAACACCGCTTGTGATGTGGAAAAAATACTACTTTTTTGTCATGATAAGATTGCAAAGGGGAATAACCTTGTATAATGTGGTGCAAAAACTATATATCAGATATGTGTAATACAATGTATATCTTAACTTTTTTTAAGTTGGCTTTTCATTGGTTTTTTTTCCCTTTATAGCTATCAATATAAATATTTCAGGGCTCTCCATTAGAATTTATATCTAGGCAGTTTGAGAGGTTGTACTTACATTGCCCCCCTGCTACCCATTTAATTCCTATCCACCAGAGTGGGAACATTGTGGCGTGGTGATACACATGCAAAAAGCTGATTTGGTTGTTCTTCTTTTTTAACACAAAGAAAAAAGTGTCCATCATTTCTATACACTTAGAAAAATAAAACCACCATAATGCCTTTGCTATCTGAAATGAATTGAAGAAAAAAAAGGTCAGCAGTTTCATTACTACCATCTTTGTTAGCCAAGGGTTTTCGGTCCACTCTCCTCCCCATAAAGGTAAGAAAATGGACTGAAACCCTTGGTTAGTAAAGATGCATTACCATATGCACATCCAATAACTGTTATTCCAATCATGCATCATAGTATCATTAGTTTTTTTTCTCATGAAGACTAAATCATACATTAAATACTGGTAATGTTTTTATTAATTGTCAATCATCACTTTCATAAAATAATATCAAAATAATGCAACTGTTATCTTTTTTCATTGCTCAGATACATCTATAAATCAATATTTACAGCATCTCCAAATGAAGATGAAGGAAACTTACATTGACTTCATTTTCATCATAGCTGTAGGTAACAGGTTGACATATAAAACTGTATCCTGCCTTGTATGTGTACACAACAATCTGGAAACAACAACAGAATTAATCAATTATCATATGTGTCAACACACTGAAATTTATTGAGAAATTTATTTGATCATAATAAAAGAACTAAACTATGAAATATGACTAAGAATTTTAGACACTGGTGGAACAAATCAGCAAATTTTATGCAGAAATAAAAAAAAAAAAAGTTTTCGGCTTACTTGATAAAATATATAAAAGTTGAGTATCACTAAAGCTATATTGTAGATGAACACAGCCCCTCTAAGTTTGTATGGTTCTCTGTTTGTCATCCACCATTTCCCGGCATAGACCAGCATCACATACAGTATGGTTATTACCAGAGTAGGTGTATAACTCTGCATTAAAAACCAGTCCTTCACTCGGGGATCTGAATGAAACAAATACGGTTGGATATATTGTAAATGATATCTGGTAATATTTACATTTCCAATGTCTTTGTCTGAGATAAAATTACAAATAGTTAATGTACTTTATTTCTACATATAGAATTTTAAAAAATCACGTGGGGGGGGGAGGGGGGGGGGGCAGGAGAAATAGAGACGGAACTGCAGCTTAGAGCATGTGGATTAATTTGGCGAAATCAAGAGCATGTAAATATATGGAATAACTGTGACTGAGCCTGTAAACTTAATTGAAAAAAAGTAAGAACTGATGGTCTTGGAATTCAAAAAGCACACATGACAGTGGCAGTCTCTAAGTTTTAATAATTCAATAAATACAGTATACCGTATAAGTGGAAATTTTAGCGAGACGCAAATTAGCGATTTGCCCTGAAAAACTGGTAATTTATTTTTAGCGTGATGTTATTTTAGCGCTTTTGAAATGAATGTTAAAGAAGTCATAACAAATAAATTGCAATTAATTTTAAGCAATATTCAATTTTTGTGATCTCGGCACCCTCGCTAATAATGCCAAAATTAAATCCTTGCTAAAAATTCTACTTATATGGTATCTACCATATGGTACAAAAAAGAGCTCCAAAACATCATGGAATATATTTCATAGACAGAAAGGAGATAGATACCTGAATTTTCTACTGCCCACTCATAAAATTTGTTCCATTCATAATATTTGTCTTTTATAACCTCCATGTTGGTTGTCTTCTATGTCCTATTCACAGACTGAAATATATAAAACAATGACACACATCAGTAGTGAAAAATTATACGTGTATATGTATTATATACTACTGCTTTACAAAATATATATAAGTGAACTAGTGAAGTTCAAATGCATTGTGAAAGTGTGAGCATCTGACAGAAAATTATTTTGAAATTCAATTTATTTGCTTGCCAATGGTAATTTTTAAAGAAGTTAATTCGATCATCTGTATCATTGACTCTAACTCAAGTGCATTTATGAATATAAGGACTATATATAGCGATGAAAGAAAGTTACATTACATTTTAGCTGACTTTACTTTGATGTGAATTCTGAAACATTTATCACAACCGGTAGTGAATGAGGACATTCTTTGGTAGGGCAATTCATGTCAGTTTAAATGTCCTTGTCAGCGTTATTTCAAAGCGGAATATATACCTTGCGCTTTTCATGTAACTAGAGGGTTGCAATCAAATTCAAATGTATGCAGCTGTACACAATATTCAACAAAAAATTATTTGCTAACTAATATTTATGGTTAAGTCATCCCAAAATCATATCAAACAGTAAGTTATAACCACAGTAAGAACTTGAAAATCAAACAGTCTTGCAAAATCAAAAATGCAAGACTGCTAATGATGTGCATCAAATCAATCCAAAAATTAAATTGCAGAAATAGGTTGGTCTATAAAGTGTTAAACTGATGCATTTTTCTAGGCTAATAACTGTTACATTTTTATCACAACAACAGTCTTCAAGAGTTTGTGTAAACTATAAAGGTATGTGCACTAAATGCCTTCCTACTGATCAATTTATACCTGACTGGTAGTATGATATCTTTAAAAGGTCCAAAGGTCAAGAGACACATACTGACACTACAGTGTGCATCATTTGATATTGTCTAATCCAACAATAAAATTATTTAATTGTCAAGTTGTGAAGTAGTTGATTAATAAAAAGCTTTGGGGCTAAAAATTTATTTGTTTGTATTTACGAATTTATAATGAACTAAAAATGTGTTTATATCTTAGAAAAAGGTTTTATTACGAGGAGTGATCAAAAAGTTTGCAAACTATCTCTATATCAACAAAACCACAATTCAGATTAGAATTAAATTCGGTACACACATAGCCATACACAAGGTCTATAAATAGCATATGCTGAATAAAGTTTCTCTCCTTGTTTCTGACGTCACAATGTGAAAATGACATCACTATTTAGGTCACTTGTGACGAAAAATGGTTGTCTCAGTCGAACTCGTTCAACAAACGACTGTACAATTTATTGTAATATCTTAGAAATCCCTCTACAGTATCATATAATAATTTGTACACAGTTTATTGAGATAAATAAGTTCCTATAAATTCAATTAATGATTGGATTAATCGTTTTAGTGAAGGAAGGCTGATGGTTAAAAATGATACTTGTCATCTTGCCCAGTGAAAGCAAGTTTGAAAAGATATGTATTTTTAATTAAGCAATTTGCTATCAAAGACCTCCAATTAGCACTTTGAAAAATAGTTGAATATTTGAACAATGATATAACTTGTATTAAATACCTAAGATATCCGTTTACTTTAGATTTTAAACATATTAGATATGATAAAAAGGATGCACCCATTCTCTATCCACCCTGAATAAAGGTTTCTCCTGAGACAGAAGATTTGTGTTTTAATGGTCGCCTTGCTTATTTTTGGAAAGGATGTTATTATCCACCCATTCTGTTGCCGAGATATGACCATTTCTGACAAATTAACTGTTCTTGTCATAAAAATTAACTCACATGGAAAGAAATATAAAACTCAGAAAAATCTTTTAACTTTTGTGACAGAACGCTACGGAGGGGGTCACGTGACTGCCAATATCACGTGATTCGCGCATGCGCAATACGGTGGTTGATGTGCATTAAAATCAGGGAGGATTCATTTAAAATATAATCAACATTAAAACCAAATATTGTTTCTTGTATGGAAGTTATTCAATTAGTTTGCGAACTTTTTGATCACCCCTCGTATAATGATAACATTTAAATAACTGCATGGTAAAATTAATACATACAAAAATACAGAGATTTCATTGTTTATATTAATGGACAAATGCATCCTTTTCATTTAAGAATAAGATTTTCAATTCTTTGAAATAATATTTCTTTAAAAAAAAATTACAGGTCCCTACCTATCTCTGCTATGTTAAAGATCAATATGATCAAAAACTAATCATCAATTGGTTTTAGTACAACTCTCAAAAATATCCTACTGTGCAAATAATCTCGGGTAATTCTGCTATTCATAAAAAGTTAATTACAGCGATTCATTTGAGCAGAACAACTCTTTTAGTACGTGCCTGTACTGGCGGTGATCATTTAAATCCTGGACTGTTGCTATGTACTATCACATACATTTAAATCATGGCAGAGACTTGTTTTCACTAGTCTGGATTGAGCAATCCCTTATAAAAACAAACCTGGCATATAATCACTTTGACTCTTATTTAAGACACCTATACTTCTACACTAAACTATAAAAGGGAATATATACATGTACATTAATTGGCATTTAGCATGTTTAGTGTAAATGCATCAAGTATATAATAGGATGGATAGATGATAAAAACTTTTTTTTCTTTTTAAATCATGAAAGCAACTAAAAGTTATGTATAAAGAGCTTAATTGTTTTTATTCAGTGGGTCTCTCAATAATGTCCTGTAAGGTGAAAAAATGTAGGATTTTAATTTGAACATCAGAAAAAATTAAAATTTTCCTCATATTTTTGAATTGCAAAATTTGCATTTAACTGAAATATTACCAATCCATCCATGTATCCCTATTTTTTATTCTATCATCTGTCTTAAAAAGGAAATTTTGTGATAAAAACAAGCTTGCAAAATGTAACTTCCCTGTTCCTTAATCTGTTTCCTTAGCTTCCTTAGCTAATGTAACCTGCATACTGTCTGACAAATTTCAGATCACTGACAAAACTGCTGACACTAGATTTTAAAAAGAGGTTTGGGATTTTTTTCAGTAATTTTTATGATACTATACTTAACATTGATAAATAGGTAAATGCTAATAATTATAAAAAATTTAAATATATTTTTCAATGCACTGCAGTAGATATAATTAATTTTAAAAAATATTAATTTTTAATTATTTTTCATAAGAAAAGAGATTTATTTCATACACTGGCCTAGTGAAGGGCAATGGAACTTAATTTTAAAGAAGATTTTCAAATTGTTTTTAGTTGTTCAAAACAATGTAACTTTCTTATTGTGGTATTATAAGTTTGTGCATATTTCTCCAATTAAGACATAGTCCAGACATGACACAAAACAGACAATGATGACTAATATATACAAAAAAAATAGTGGTCAATTGCACAAACTCTGTTAACCATTAATTCCTCCCACTTTTTGCAGAACTGTAGATCCTTGTATATTTATACAATGTATAACCTATTCATGCTAATATTATCAAAGTAATTTGGACAGCAAAAGGATGCATGCATCTATATCTATTTAAATTTTAGTATCACACAATTTTCCAAATTCAAAGCGAAGTTAAAGACTATTATTATACTTCTGTTAAAATGTTTCCTATATAAAGTAAAGAAGGTAAAATAACTATTCTTCTATATAGTCTAAAATTTCCATGCATAGCAAAGCTATCCCCCGGGGTATAGTTTTTGCTATCCATCCCCGGAAAATGTTCGTGCAAATTTTAGCGCCAATAATTTTCATTTCCTGTGATCCTGTCATTTGATTTATCCAACAATGAAGAGTTCCAACCGTACAAAACAAAGTACATCAGTATAATAAAACGCTTATCCTATATAAGCCCTCGGGGAATAGTTCCTGTCGAGGGTTTGATAAAAGAGCTATCCCACTAAATACAGCCAGTGGATAAGTAATTCACAGGCACTTGTTTTGTGCATATAATGTAGGGCACCCCCTACTCATTGTTAAAAATAGGTTGGGTGCCCCGTATACGAAACACTTGTGTCTGAGCTTCAAAATGGGAATTAAAAAATGCTTGTAAATTTGATCCATGTTTAAATTGTTTTCTTTGCTCACATCCTATCCTATCATCCTAAAATATGTTATATATTGAGCTGCAAAAGATGATAAGTAGTAAGTGGTATAGTGTCTAAAATTACAGTGTAAATCAGCAGAAATATTCATCATTCGTTTCATATAAAGTCAGTAAGAACACTGCCTTTTGAATAAGATAGAAAGAGAAAATTCTGGTCAAAAGAATAATTCCGGCTTCCTACACAATATAAATCAATATATTTTAAATTGCACATTTAGAATGTATGCATAATAATTAGCATGTACCCCAAAACATTTTAAAAGTTCGCTGTATAAATTAAAGGTAATTTTCATCTCAATAGATATTTCAAAAGATTGTTTGCATGATTTCTTTGTACACGTGCTTTGTTCATGCATACTGTCCAGAAACGCTGCTATTTATTTATTTATTTCCCGATCTAGGTCGACCAAAACGGGAAGAGGATGTCACTAGATAATGTACAAAATGATCAAAGAAAGCTCCAACTTTTCAAACTAAGAGGGGAGCTGAGTGATGGTTTGTAATACTTACCTAATTTGTAACCAAATTCCAACTGCCAAACCATGTGCAAACACGCATAAACCTAATTTCAGTGTAATTTCGTTGCCATCAACAACATTGTAACATTTGCCGGCGGAAGTACAATGTGCTATATACTTTGACCAATCGGTTGAGTCGTTTTATCTTTTGCATCGGTAAAACCATTTCTGTCTTTAATTTTGATTGGATAAGAACTTTTCTGGGGTGATATTTGCTGTAAAGTATAAACAAAGACACATGTTGTAGAGGGTAAGAGGGTATTATTGATAGAAAAATATTTTCCCCTTAATTTTCGTCTTTTTCATTAAGAATTTTTATTTATCATCTGTTCTACTGTCATTTGATAAAGATGTGTGAAAGTGTTCGATCTGCAAGCAGTCACACTAAGCATGCTTTCAAGAGCAGTTTGCATTTAACTATTTCAATATTTGATTTTGGTCCCGTATTATATGTTTATTTATGTTACAGATTGATGTTGTTACATATTAAAGTAGATTATGTTGAATAGGCATGTCCTTTGTGTCACTTTTTGGTTGATATTGAATGGTTTCTCCCAAAACCAAATGCTACTATCAAGTCTAACTGTGTTGTATATACAAGAATTAATTAATATATTTAGATTGATTTCCATAAATCCCCACATGCAATTATTTTCAAATTTGTATCATATACCCTGTTTTAAATTCTATCCTTCTTAACACAGGGACTTGTTTCAGTAATGAATTTTTAACCCATGATGATCGATAAGTTATGCTTTGAGTCAATTTTTTTTAATATAATCAAAACAAGTGCCTGTGCTATTTTCAGTATGAATTAAATTTTCTGCAAGGTTGAAGTCATTTTTTTTGAATATGTGATATCATATTGGGGTATCTCCACAATTTTTAACCTACCTCTGGGTATCAATATATTTTACCTCAACTTAATTTTCCCAAGTAAAAGTACTGGGTTTGACTTTGAATTTAATAAAAATACTTATATTATGTCATATTGACTATAGTGCATGTGCAAAAACTGTTAATTACTAAGTTTACAACATTATTCAATTTAATTTTTTCTCTTTCAGTACTAGACAATAAGAAAAATGACATTTTTCAAGAACCTTGTGCACAACTATGAGTATGCAACAACTAAACTCAATGGTATAAATTCATTTAAGTATAATATACATTAAATAAAACATGCGCATGATGAAGTGCCAGAAATGAAGCATTTTCATTTATTAAAATGACACCTCTTAAAAATGGAGGAATACATTGAATATCATTTTGCTGTAATGGTAAATTTGTCAGCATGTTCAATGTTAACTGAGTTTTACAATGCTTTTTTTTTATAATGATGCAAAGCTTGTTGTTCCAGATTTATAGGTACTGTAGATCACTTAATTTTCACGACACCTTATTTTGCGAGATAGTCATTGACTCTTTATTAGCGAGACAAAATTTTCACGAATTGTGGTCATTGCTCTATATAATCTTAAGGAATTCTATTGTACGCGAGAATGAAATTTTCGCGAGCATACCGCCTCTCGTAATTACGCGAAAATAATGTTCTCGCGAATAAAAAGTGATTTACAGTACATGTATTTATTTCTTAAATTCTCATCAGATATAATTGTTTTCTAAATCATTAGAGGAGAAAATACTATAAAATGAAAAAAAAAATACCTGCATGATCACTTTGAAAATTTCATAAGAAATGAATTTACAATAAACAAAATTACACAAGAAATATGATATGCTTTAATCTTTTCCATTAAAATTTTTGTCATCACCTAGCTTAAAAAGAAATTTTTGGTTAAAATTTCTGTACATTTAATTTTTTTTAGACCCCCGTACCACAGATTGGTTTCTTATGTCAACGCCATGGCCGACCATTGCCATAGTAACAGCTTATTTGATATTTGTCTACGGAGGACAAAAATGGATGAAGAATCGTACTGCATACTCACTGAAGGATGCTATGCTGTGCTACAACTTTTGCCTGGTTATCCTGAATGCCTACATATTTTATGAGGTGCCCATATACAATATATGTATTCATAATAATTTTATATGAGAATCCATAATTAATGAAAAATTGTCAGGTATATTAAGTTAAAAGAGAAAATACTTAAAAGATTTTAGAACAATTTTATAATAAAATAAGGGTTTGCAGAATTCTTTATCATAGTAAACCTTAATTTTGACAATTTCAGTATCTTGTATCTACATGGTTAAATCCAAAGTTTTCTAAATCCTGCCAAGTAATGGACTACTCCAATGAAGGCCTTCCACTCAGGGTAAGAGTGTGTTTAAAGGGAGATAACTTCTATTATAGCAATTTTAACAATACATCTTTGTTAAAGGTTCATTTATTTTATATCTGATAAATGAATTATGTTCACTTTATATTTCATTTATTTTCTAGCTAGCAAAGGTGTCATGGTGGTTTTATTTTTCAAAGATTATTGAGTTAATGGACACAGTAAGTAAATACAGTTAATCTTATGCCCTCTTACCCTTTCCACTTAAATAAAAATTGAAATCAATAGGTAGGTCAGCTGCATGCAGTTAATATGTGGGCATTAATTGTCACACCGTAACAAGAAATATCAGCAGAAGATTTTTATCTGCATATTCACATATTATAGCTCTATAAAAGTCATTCTATCATCTTAATCTAAATCACTAATACCCTGGTATATACAAGTTGATCATAATCAAGAAAAAAAACTTGATGAGCCTATCAATTTATTGATTCAATTCTGTGATGAAGTTAACAAGAGGCCCATGGGCCACATTGCTCACCTGAGAAGCTTTGACCATTCTGTTCTTTACCAGATTTCACCCTTGTTATACATAATGCATCCCCACCCTACCCCACTGATCATAATTTAGACATTTTGAAATCTACACTACCCCATGATCCTTCCATGGGCACATATGTCTCAGCTTTTTTGGCCCAGTGGTTCCTGAGAAGAAGATTTTCAAAGATTTTTCCTATATATTTCTATGTAAAACTTTGATTCCCTATAATGGCCCCGCTCTTCCCCCGGGGGTCATGATTCCTACAATTTAGAATTTACACTACCCCAGAATGCTTCCACATAAGCTTCACTTTTTCTGGCCCAGTGGTTCTTGAGAAGAAAATTTTCAAAGATTTTTCCTATATATTTCTATATAAAACTTTGATTCCCCATTGTGGCACCGCCCTTCCCCCGGGTGTCATTATTTGAACAATTTAGAATCTACATTATACCAGGATGCTTCCACATAAGTTTCAGCTTTTCTGGCCCAGTGGTTCTTGAGAAGAAGATTTTCAAAGATTTTTCCTATATATTTCTATGTAAAACTTTGATACCCCATTGTGGCCCCGCCCTTCCCCTGGGGGTCATGATTTGAACAATTGAGAATCTACATTATACCAGGATGCTTCCACATAAGTTTCAGCTTTTCTGGCCCAGTGGTTCTTGAGAAGAAAATTTTCAAAGATTTTTCCTATATATTTCTATATAAAACATTCCCCATTGTGGCCCCGCCCTTCCCCCGGGTGTCATTATTTGAACAATTTAGAATCTACATTATACCAGGATGCTTCCACATAAGTTTCAGCTTTTCTGGCCCAGTGGTTCTTGAGAAGAAGATTTTCAAAGATTTTTCCTATATATTTCTATATAAAACTTTGATTCCCCATTGTGGCCCCACCAATCCCCCGGGGGTCATTATTTGAACAATTCAGAATCTACATTATACCAGGAGTGCTTCCACATAAGTTTCAGCTTTTCTGGCCCAGTGGTTCTTGAGGAGAAGATTTTCAAAGATTTTTCCTATATATTTCTATGTAAAACTTTGATTCCCCATTGTGGCCCCGCCCTTCCCCCGGGGGTCATGATTTGAACAATTTAGAATCTACACTACCCCAGGATGCTTCCACATAAGTTTCAGCTTTACTGGCCCAGTGGTTCTTGAGAAGAAGATTTTTTAATGACCCCACCCTATTTTTGTCTTTTCTTAATTATCTCCCCTTGCGAGGGGACCTGGCCCTTCATTTTAACAATTTAAATTCCCCTTTACCCAAGGATGCTTTGTACCAAGTTTGGTCAAAATTGGCCCAGTGGTTCTTGAGAAGAAGTCGAAAATGTGAAAAGTTTACAGACAGACAGACAGACAGACAGACAGACGGACGGACAATGGATTGTGATCAGAAAAGCTCACTTGAGCCTTCGGCTCAGGTGAGCTAAAAAATTGCAATGCTTACATGGCATGCTATACCATATTGTTCTGTGACAATAAATTGTATAAGAATTTTCATTTCATCTGACTTCTTAGAAACTTAATTGTAATGCATGTATTGTTAACTAAATTCTCCTCTTAATAAATTTTCTTCAGGTATTTTTTGTCCTGCGTAAGAAGAACAACCAGATATCATTCCTTCATGTGTACCACCACTCTACGATGCCTCTGTTATGGTGGACAGGAGTTAAATTTGTACCGGGAGGAGAGTGTAAGGCTAAATAAAATTGAAGTCTTGGTTCTCAGGCCCGCGCGCATCCGTTTTGAGGTAGCCGCATTGCCGATTTTATTGTATTTTTTAAAAAATAAAAAGTCGGTATTGCGGAGACCAATCCGGGAAAAAAAATTATATTTGTTTCGTAGTTTAGTATTCAAATATCACTTCCGGTAGCCATTTACAATGAGATTTTGGCTACTTCGTTTGAAATTTGAGGACATTACCTACGATGTTTACACGCTGTTAAGCAGGATAAGGCAGAGAATTTGAAGAAATGGAAAGTATATCTGTGATTAAAAAATTATCTTTATGTTATAGAAAATTCGGAAAGTAAAATAAAAAAAAAAAACCTCCCTCATCTACTTTATTGCCAATAAAATGAAAAATAAAATGCCGCCCTCCCGCATCCGTTTTGGAGAAACCAAGGAATTAAATTTAGATAGCCTAAGTACATGTGTATAATGTGGAGATATATGTTGTAAAAGAAAACTCTACTTTAAAGGATTAAATAATGGAATCAGGCAATGTTTTTAGTACAAGACATGGGACTGTTGTGGGTAAAGAAATCAAAGTTAAAAAGATTAAGGTGTTTAGACCATCTGCAAAGAGAGATAACTCAAACTGACAAACCACTGAGTGAATTTTGTTTAGCTAAATTCATGAGTATTATTTATTTATTTGCAGCTTACCAGTGTGCCAGTATCAACAGTTTTATCCATGTCCTGATGTACACCTATTATCTACTGTCTGCCATGGGACCTCAGATGCAGAAATTTCTCTGGTGGAAGAGATATATGACAACATTCCAACTGGTGAGTAACACTAAGGGTAGAAATTACTACATGTAGCATAAAATTTAGGTCAGAATTGTTAAGCCTTCATACCAATGGCCCTCACTTACCGTAATTAAGTATAACTTTACCAATTTCCCAGACTTAAAGATAATATAGTTTGTTTAAACTTTGTACCATGTGGATCATCTGACAGCCACTGAAAGTATTATTAGGTACCACTTTAAATACAAATCTAACTTTAATATGTATTTCCATCTTCCCAAGTCAAGAGTTTCTGATCCGCTCCGCTCCACATAAACCCTTGACCGAATAGGCTAAGTTTGACGGGGTTTACTGTCACGCCATCTAGTGAGATTACACATTTTGAACTTAACTGACCTCTGCTATTAGCCAATCAGATTAAACGAATTCAACAGATAATTCGAGATAATATTGGTAATCGGTAATAAATGCAATATAACTCAGCTAAAAAGCTGAGACAAACCTGTAACAGGGCTATTTAATGATAAAGACGTTACCCTTGGGACTAAAACTGGCGTGTTTTTCTGTTTACGATTTAGTTTCAGTTCAAATAAAACGATGATTTTGATTGGTTCATGCAAACTTGCATGAGGCCAATCTTTAAATACAAATCTAACTTTAATATGTATTTCAAGAAATGATTCTATTTATAGATTCAGTTTTGGTGGATCCTGGGACACACTCTGCATGCCATGTACGTAAACTGTGACTTCCCGATCGGCTTTGGTTTTGCTCTCCTGGCCTACGATTTCTCCCACATTGTGTTGTTCTCTCATTTCTACTACAACACTTACACAAAGAAAGCTCGGGCAAAGAAGGCCGAGACTGACAAAAACTTAACCAATGGCACTACCGAGAAACATTCATCTGAAAACGGAAGCACTACCACAAGACGCAAATGAATTGGAGGATAACTTAAGTGTACATTATGCATTGCTTTGCATAAAATTTAGTCCAGACCTTTTAAATTTCCGTCCAGAAAACAGTATTTTGATGCTGGACTCCATAAACTACAAATACTTAAATTTTGATTGGCATGAAATCTTGTTTGAGTTTTTTATTTGTTGTATGTTTGTTTTTGAACTAACACATTTTCATAGGAACCTCCTACTGTACATCAAACACACATCTTTCTTCTGCATTTCTGACTGCTAAATTTTTTTGTTTACCATTGTTCATTATTTTTTTGTCTTTTATAATAATATACCCTTTTGTAAATATAGTACTATAATACTGCAATTTTGATATGACATACATCATTATTTATAACCATGTTTTTTTAATGCATGTACAAGCAATTTAAGAATTAAAAAATGCCATTATCTGTAATTTTAAATTACACTTACAATGCATCTTTGTTACAGTATTGATGAAGTCTTTACAATGACCATTTAGTTTAGAACCCTTCTTGTTTCCTGATTTTTGTTTATTTTCTATTTATATTGAGTCACTGCACAGGGTAGAGAACACAGGCACTTCTACAGAGATAAAGAATATTTTGTCTGTGATAAAGACCAGCATAATAATTTTGCAATACATGTATATCTCTTTCTTCCTCCAACATGTGCCTTTGTTTAAGTTTTCACACTTTTGCTTGTAATGGAATCCATAGATAAAGTAGGGTTCAGCTGAGCTAATTCTTGGTACATCTGATGATCATAGTTTTAAAGTGTTGTTTATATTGTACAACTAATAAATTTTGATTTAAAAATGTATATTTACTGAATGTAGTTTATCTATATTTATATTTTCAATTCTCAAATAAATTTTTAATTTTTAGTTTGTTTCCTTTTTTATTTTATTTACATGCTTTACTGCATGTTTCTTTACAGCACTTAATGCTTGTCAAGGACATGTTCTCCTTTTAAAGTCCATCAACTGAATGATGGTATACGTGTACAGTATGTGGAGTCTTTAACTTCAATGATATTTTTTGTTCAGGAATTTGAACTAGAGAAAGATATCATCTACAAAGTCCTTCACTGGTAAACCAGAGGGTATAAAAACAAAAAAATCATAAAAGTACATATATTTAATATTCTTCATTTCAAAAGCAATGATAAAGTTTCAGCTCAAGTGTAATAATTTTCTCTCATGTCTCTAAATCACCAGCTCAATGAGTCCATACTAATCATCCACAGGCACTAGTTTAGGAACCTGTATCTGTTTCTGAAGGTACTCCTGGTCTAAGATTTTGAAGTTGACATAAGAATTTGTTACCATGGTGGCCAAGTCCCGAAGACTACGAGGTTTAACATCAAGATCCTCCAAAGTCTTGGCCACATCTCTGTCCACAATGAAATCAGAAAGAGCTTCCTGCACAGAGAAATGATCACGATGTAGTCAGATTGATTTGAATGCTAAAAGTTATATTTTTTTTACGCATTTCAACAAACATGTATATGAATTCTGCAGCTCTGCCTCATCCGTCAGGCTACAAGCCTTATTAATAGTGTCATCAAATTCTTCGACTTTTATGACCTCACTTAATATTCCTATTGAGTACTCGTTTACTTGGTTGATTTTTCGTAAAATTTTTCATATCTATTATTTATCTAATTCTTTAATCATCCGTAGTAGTATACACAACCAACTGTATATGAACATTATATTTACAATACACACAATATCTTCAAAGTATTTTGAGTTTAGATTAAAGAAAATAAGTAATTAGACACACAAAGTAGACTAATAAATATATAATGGTCAATCACCATTTTACAATGCCTGAATGGCTCTGATATTCGATTACTGGGATAAAATATGTTTTTCATGTCCGACATACATTATAGGGCATACAAGCTTTTATTATGGGCAGTAGACATTAGGGGCAATGAACACGGACATGAAAAAGCTGTATACCAAATTTCATAACAGTATGTGCAACCTCTGCAAAGAAAATGAATGGAAACAGCAAATTATTTGAATTTTTCTGAGTCCAAGGGGCATAACTCTGTCAAAAATTGCTCAATCATACTCAAAAAAGAACTTGATCCAGTGATATACTGACTGACAGCAGCAAAGCAATATGCCCTCCCTTCTTCGGAGAGAGGGGGCATAAAAATTGATGACATTGTTCATAACTGGCAGGATGCATATGAAACCAACTAAGCATTTTTAAAGTAAAGTCAAAAATAATTTTGAAAGTTACATGTATATAACATGCTTAATCCAGTGAATTCTGACAAGAATTTCCAAGTAAAGTCGTACCAAATAAAAAGATAAAGATGTCCATAGGCTCTGATGGCCAGCTGAGTATCATACAACCATTTTTTTGCAACATACAGTATATGTAGTCAAAAACCATAATTGCATAATACCAAGCTCTGAAGAACATTTGCTCCAAATAATCAGAAAAATAGTCTGTCTGCTAAATGTTCAAAATTAAAAAAAAACAATTTCCTAGACAGAAGAAAGATATAAAGCTAAAAAAATGTAATGTACTCACTCTTTGTAAGGAATCAAAATTAAATATTCTGTTGTCTCTCTGTCTCTTTAGCTTTCGACTGAAAAAATCAATAAAAATGCATTATTCTAAAATTTTCAAAATTTACAGTATATATTAAGTTAAAAATTATATTAAAGAGCTCAAAAGCAAATCCGTTTGCAGATAATAGGATTATCCAGTAAGTTTAACTCAGCCGATTAAGGTTTAAAGTGACTCACATGAAGGCGACATCGATATCTGTAATATCCCAGTAGTCCCTGTGACTCAGTCGTGTGATGTGGTTAACCAAGTTGTTCAAGTTATACCTCTCTGGTCTGTTGTTAAGAAAAAAGTTTAATTGCACTATGTGTTGTATAATAAAAGTACATATGGGACTGAACGAACATTTTGATGGTATAGATTTCTCTTATTAGCTCAGACAAATCTTATGAATGGGGACATTCACACTGACAGATTCTTGATCATATGGATTTAAGAATTACATATGCAGTAGCTAGCTAAATGAATATAAATCTTAAAATCAAACAATTGCATTTTAAATAACAACTTTTTCTTAATTCCCTTCTTAATATTTTTATGATAATATAAGATGTAGAAATATGTGCATGTGAATTTGAGAATTTAATACTACTCACCCTATGCAATAATAGGTGCTTCCTGGAGCATCTGAATCAAAAATGGCATTAGTCACTCCTGTGGCAACATCACCTGCCTACAAACAATTAAAATTCAAGTGTTTCATATTTTCAATCATAACTCAGTTATTTTCAATAATTAATCATTTTTCAATTAGCCTAGGTTTAACTTGTCGACATATGAACTGTATTTTATATTAAAGTCAAATCAGGGAATCTAGGGCAGAGCTGCCAACATTTTGAAATGACAAATAGTAAGGCGGGGTCTAGCGACTACCTAGGGCCCCTGCCGCTGAAAATGTTTTGTAAATGGACATACAATCAGAGCAATTTGAGGCACGTTTCCATTTTGTTTACTTTAAAACATTGACATGAATGTGATCAGCCTTTAAAACCGAAACGAAGATACAAGCAAGCTTTGTAAGAATTATGAATATGTTATAGTAGTAGAAACTATAGACTGCCAGCTATTATTATAAACTTAATTTGAAGGAGAAAAATTGAAATCGGAAGAATATAGAGAGAATCGTAAGGTGTATTTTAGACACTGATTTCGTACGCCTTACGCCAAAATCGTAAGGGTTGGCAGCTCTGCTAGGGAAACTTACAAATACGGGTTGTTTTACGGTGTCGTGTCCCTCTCTCCAGATTGGGATCTTGTTGCTCAGGTAACCATACCGTGCTGTCAATGTACAACAAAAACTGAATTTTTTTATCTTGTAATGTATATACTACAGGTCTGCTTTCAGAAATGGCAGTACTTAAACTCTTCTATTAATCACAAACATGCAATGCCAAAAAAATTCTGAAAACATTTTGTTTCATCTTGTATTTGTTTAATTTTTACAGTACATGTATTATATATAACTTTTAATAACCATATTTAGTCTTCTCACAGTAAAACTGGACATGAACATTTACCAAACCTTGACACATGTTATTATTTTTTTTTTAGAGTGATCAACAGCTACTGCATACAAATTCCTTCTTATTTCAAACTTACTCTTGTGAACATATTTCCATAAATATTTATCTCGGATTCCATAAATATCTGCTGGTCTAAAAATAGTGGCCTCTGGGAAAATTTCTCTTAATGCCTGATCACCTTCCCACTGAAAAAAAAGTGCACAGATTTATCATCACAATAAATAAAATTCAACAGGTTTTTTTTTCTGGAATGCCCCCTTTTTTAAAAAGTATATGTACATGTATACATGTATTAGTTTTTGTTTTTTTTAACAAGATGTGAAATCAAGGGCATGATTAATTGACTTTTTTAAAACTATGAAAGCTGACTTTGTCTTTACCTTTTTCTGTAACATAGAATTTCCCTTATTGATATTTTCCCCAAAATAGATCAGATCAGTACGATGGGGGTCTGCATTCAGATGTGAAAAATGAATTAATCGTTCTACACCCGTTTCCTTGGCAATCTTAGCAATCTGGGTTGGAGCATCAACAAACAGATCATGATAATCATATGCCCTGAAAAAAAAAGTCTCCATTTATATTCAATCTGTACATAATGTAGATTCCTAAATATATGCGTGGAATTAATTATCGCGTAATTTTGCGAGAAGCACCACACACGAAATAAAGTTACTAGCCTTTATTTTCATGATGCTGAAATCTAAGTAAAATCTCTTGACCAACCGTCCATTTGCGAATTATTATTCTCGCGATTTGACGTTGAGGAGCTCATTCGCGATAACAAGTACTCACGAAAAATAAGGAATCTACAGTATTTAAAATGAAGACATGGTCATTACTAAGCATCAAGCTTAAGATTTGCAAAATTTCAAGATCTTGAAATTGTTCCTTGAAGTGCACCATAAAAAAAAATGCCAGTAGAATCTATATCTGTGCTCTTCAAGATAAAAAAGAAATTTTATTTAAAATATGACAGTTGTTTAACCTCAAGTATTTCTTATATTTCTAGAATATATGCGATAATCTCTATTTGCCATAGTCTTTTGCTCACTTACTTGGTTTCAAACTCTTTTCCAATAAGGTTTATGACAACGTTGGAGTGCATCATTGCTTTTCTTAGCTGATCTTCGTGGTAAATACTGTCAAAGGGCTAAACATCAAAACATAATTTTAAATTTACTGGACTAAAATACGACACTTAGGTAATATTTAGATACAACTTGCCAAAACAAAACAAGAGGCCCATGGCCCACATCACTCACCTAAGTAGCATTGGTGATGCCGTTCTTTACCCAATTTCCCCATTGTAATACCTAGTGTGGCCTTGTCCCCCCTGGGGGTCATGATTTAATAATTTAGAATCTACTCTACCCAGAATGCTTCCACATAAGTTTCAGCATTCCTGGCCCTGTGGTTCTTGAGAAGAAGATTTTTAAAGATTTGTTCTATATATTTCTGTGTAAAACTTGGATTCCCTATTGTGGCCCCTTCCTACTCCGGGGGGTCATGATTTTAATAATTTAATATCTACACTACCCAAGGATGCTTCCACATAAGTTTCAGCTTTCCTGGCCCAGTGGTTCTTGAGAAGAAGATTTTAAAAGATTTGTTCTATATATTTCTATGTAAAACTTGGATTCCCTATTGTGGCCCCACCCTACCCTGGGGGTCACGATTTTAACAATTTAATATCTACACTACCCAATATCTACACTACATAAGTTTCAGCTTTCCTGGCCCAGTGGTTCTTGAGAAGAAGATTTTTT